AGCTGGAGAATCATGCTTCCTACTTATCAGATAATACGCTGCAATTTCTGAGCTAAACCTATACATTGCAGACGTCGTAAAAGTCCAACATTTGTGAGCGCACAGCGGTAGTAGGTCTTTAGCTATTATTAAATGCACGCTCTTAAAGCCTTCTGTTTACTTAAATCCCCATATGGATGAGTGGTGAGCGAGAATGCTGTTTGATGCTGCGGGAGGTTGACAGTCACTTAAAACCTAACTCGCGCTCAAGTTACTGCATCAACCTGTTTGGAGCATAACTTGGGCATCAACAAAATAGATGGCCGAAGCTATCGTGTGCAAAAGCGGGAGTTATTAGTTGCTTACGAACCTGTCAGAGCGCTCGACCGACAAAAAGCTTCATCATGGCGCTGCGCAGCCTCTGAGCTAAAACTAGATATTGTAGATGTTGCAAAAGTCCGAAATTTGAGCGCGCATCGGTGGCAGATATTAAGCTATCACTAAATGCACATTCTTTTACCCTACTGTTACTAAAATTCCAAATAGGTTACGGCTGAATACGAGGTTAACATATTACACATGCATATACAGGGCGCACTGAAGCTTGCTACCTACTGGCTGTAGCAAGTCTCATTACTAGAACCAACACTTTTAAGCCTAGGCACAGCACTTCTAACAGAAGTATCTTTAAACATGCCGCGTCACTCTGTTACCATCTAAATGCATGACAGATCCTCAGCTCTTGCTACACATATCTTTCTCTGACCTTGGGCTTACTAATATCCCCTTATAGGTCTATGACTGCACACTAAGCTAAAATATTATAAATGTACGCATAGGCCGCATGGTAGTCTACCACCTGCTAGTCTTAGCATGTATGGTAACTAGAATTAGCACTTCTAGCATAACACGTTCAAAAGTACTATACTAGAGATCAAGGGAACACAGCCCCAGGCCAAACTCCAACCAGTGGAACTACTGTCCTCGGGATTAGAGTGCGGAAGCCAAGTCGAGCAGAGCTTGATCAGGCCCCCAAGCATGTACTTACCCGAAATAGCTAAACTGAGACTCACATTCCTGTTGAGAACAAAAGGATATGAGCCCTAGCGTTGGCTTAGCCCACACCACCCTTGACGAATGGCGGCATCAATGCTAGCTACAGTACTACTACACTTCTTGTTGAGATTGAAGGGACATGAACCCCGTGCTGACTCTAGTCCGTACAGCTCGATGGATCAAGTTGAAAGTGCGGAAACCAAGGCATATACATCTTTGCTCAGGACCCCCAGCTCTATTATTATCCAAATGCTAATCACTTTTACCTCACACAGACAGGGAAGTGCAAACTGGGTGCGTCTCCTTAAACAGAACATACACAGGCAGTACTTATAGTATACTATCTACTAGCCTCAGTAAGCATTCTTTCTAGAATTAGCACTTCTATCATAAGCACGCACCTATAGCAGCAGCTTTAATCCGTGCAGCTCGAGGGATCGAGCTGAGAGTGCGGAAGCCAAGGCAAGCATAGCCTTGCTCAAGCCCCCAAGCATGTACTTTCCCGAAACAGATAAACCCAGATTCACCTTCCTTATTCAAATCAAGGGTATAGGAACCCCATTGAAGGTTCAGTCAGCGTCAACGCTGATAAATGGTGGCACCAGTGCCAGCACCAGTACTACTACACTTCTTGTTAGGTTTGAGGGGATAGGAACCCTGCGCTGACTTTACCCAGAGTCAATTCTGAGTTACAATACAGACTGAAGTAGAACCAGCGAACATATTACTCAGATGCACCCTAACAGTAACATTAGAAATAGCAGTAGTGGTTGTTTAGCAAAACGAGGCCTGGCTTCTTAGAATCAGGCTAGACACCTGCTATAGGTGAGTGAGGATAGACAGTGCAGTAGTACCGGCGCAGTCTACTGTCACTATATACTAATTTAAGGCAGTGTTTACGGCTGCGGCCACGCTTCCTCCCTGCGCGGTTATCTCGACTCCTGTTGTCACCATTTAAACGCAGTGGAGAGGGTTTAAAGTGAAGTAATCAGCGGCGCGTGTACTCTCACTATAATGGGCCTTAGTCACTCTCCCTGCTCTCGGGCAAATGCTGGACTTCACCGAATACGGTGGTCGAACTCACACATGTCCCTGTAAGGCGTTTCAGTACTTTTTCAATGGATGACATTTGTTTCTTGGTAGGGTCTGTTGGAAGAGGGTCATAGGTTGAGCTATCTTTTAGTACTGAGAGCATTTTCAGCTCGTAGTCTGCTTTCTTCAAGATAGCAGTTGAGCCTCCTCTGTCGGCTGGAAGTTTGGTGATAGTTTTATCAGGTTTTAAATTCTTAAGTACTTTCTTTTCTTCAGTAGATGGAGATGAAATTTGATTCCGATCCTTTAGGGCATGACCAGCACTGATTTTGATAGTAAACTGATCATAATCGCTGAGGTTTACTGTTAATAGGATTGACAATTGCAACTTCCAATTAACGCCCACAACAAATGATTATATAACTATGTAAGCACTTCCAAATGCTAACTGTTCTTTGCAAATTTCTCTCAAGTCTGACGACGACCTGGGGATACAGTGTTGGAAATTTACTGAATAGTTTTATTGATTTTCGCAAAGGACGACTTTCCTTGAAATTACATTTCTTGGGATGCTTGCCTTTCAGTTTATACGAAAAATCTCTTCTTCTTCTTCTTCTTCTTCTTCTTCTTCCTGTTTTTCAGTCTGTATCTCGTTCCGACGAACAGAATAACAGACGCTCGCAAACCCTGATCTACTAAAAAGTCTTGAAAAAACATTCGAATTCAAATTCTCGACTTTCGCCCTGAAAATGAGCCATTAAGTGCCTCACATCATGATTTCCTGCCTGGTAGCTCATGCGAAACTGCCACCAAGCTTTTCTTAACCGCGCTATAGCATTTCGTAATGAGCAGAAATCAGTAGTTGGTATCCACATTGAACTTAGCAAAGCTTTTGACAAGGTGTCAAACAGGCGTCTTCTAGTGAACCTGGAAGCCCTCTGCATCTGGCCCTAACTCATCAATTTAATTGGTTCCTACATGTTTAACTGCAGCTAAAAGGTCTTAGTAGGTAATAGCTATTTGACGCCTCAACCCATCAAAGAGCGGCGTCCTTCAGAGCACGGTTTTATAATAAGCTGTATATTTAAGGCCCAAGGGGCCCTTTCATTACAAACTTAGTGCTATCGT